TATCTTCTCAATATTCTTAACCATTCAAAATTTTTACCCAATCTCTCATCATTAGTCATCATTCTTATTGATCGTTGTCAAGATCCAAATAAAATTTATCAACATATATTTCGTTTGCCAGTATTGAAATATTGCAGAATATCATTGAAAGAAGAATATTTCAATCATTTTTCATTATCTATTTCAACAAATGTAACAAGTCATATCCAACATCTTGTCATTGATCATAATTTTTCTCTTCATAATCTCAATGCTTTATTATCCTATGTTCCTCAATTACGTTGTTTAATATTTCACTGTCTTGATGGAACTCATAGCAATAAATCAGAAATATTTCCATGTTTATCAAATAATTTAACACATGTTTCTATTAATATAAAAAATATTACTTTTGAAAAATTTGAAATGATAATTAAAAATTTATTTTATCAACTTGAAATTTTACATATCTCAACAAATAATGACAGTATATATGTTGATGCTAATCGATGGAAACAATTAATTTTATCTTTTATGCCAAATATACGAATTTTTGATTTTCAACATGTTAATTATATACAAAATAATAATGATAATAATAAGGCAATATATGATTCTATAATGGATCAATTCTCTTCATCGTTTTGGTCAGAACGAAAATGGCTTTTTGAATATCAATTTTACGTACAACAATCTCAAAACTATGTGATTTTCTATTCAATAAATCAGTACAGGTAAAAAAAAACTAATAAATTCTTCAATTCAATACATTCTACTTATATAATTTTTAATTGAAAGAAAAGAAGACAGTGCACATTACATAAACCACTGTTCAAAAATATCTGTACATATTATCAAAAAAGGTATACAGATTTTGTCGATCATGTTGATATCCATGGTGAAGAAGCGATTATGAGTTGTGTAAATTATTTTCAAAATGCTACGAAATTGACTCTTTCACATAGTTTTGCTGCAAGTCGTGTATGGCTTCGAATTATTCTCGAACATATCATCCCTTTAAAACAATTGACTACACTAGTCATTGACTATGATGCTCTATCTTTTAATCAATTGATTAAATTATTACGTTTTACACCTAATATTCATACATTGACATTCAAATC